GGGCTCAGAGCGAGGCTGAGCAGCTGCTGCAGGGCTCTGGCAGTGCAGTGCAGTGTAAGGACAGGCTGCCTGGGCAGTTATCCCCAAATAACCTGCTCAATCAACTTGAGCTGGGCAGGCAGAGAACAGCCAGCTCCCACACTAATGCCTGGCTGCACCCCCTCGCCCAGCACCACCGTGGGCCTCCTGTCTTTCTGTGCGCGGGGTTGGAAACGGAGAGACGCGCATGCTCTTGTGTTTCTAAAGCCCTTTGCCCTGAACCCGCCTCGGGGTTCCCGTGAGTCTGGATAGATCCACGCGCGGCGAGCTCGCGCATGGACATGTCCCAGGCCGCCGCCACGACGCTCGAGGGAAAGCTTGCTGAACCCCCCGCCGGACGCTCGGGACAGCCTGGAAACATCCCATGACCGCGGCGTGCCTTTTAGCTCGAGAGCGAGCGAGAGACGGAGCCCCAAGGCGCGCATTTTCCCCCGGGGGAAGTCGTCCATCTCTGAAAACAAGCAGTCATTAAGTGGCTCATCGAGCACCCCGGTCGTTACCGTCCCACTGTAACGATGGTTGCTGCAGCAGGAAGGCCGGGGCAGAGTAACGCAAAGGGAGGAGGCAGTCGTGCGACGTTGAATCCGCAGGGGACGTGGAAGCGCCTTCCCGTATCTCTAGGTCAAATCTGTTTCTTCAGGTGGGACCGGGACTTCTGATCAAAATGTCCTTATGCTCACGTTACCGAACCACCCATTAAATGACTGCCATAGTAACTAAGATGCCCTACAGCACTGTCAGCTCTCAGAAACTGGAACAGTTTGTATTTCCTAAGGGGTTTATAGCCTGTTTGGCAGGGGATTTTTTTATTTTGAGACTTGTTTTCACTGCCAGTCCAATGAGTGAACAGTAGGGGATATGCTTATTTATTTGCAGCTTTTATTCAGTTTTTTGGTATGCGCCTTGTTGGCACATGGCAGACCCCTTGGTTGGTAGGACAGCAGGGGCACATTTGCTGGTGCCGTGGCTAAGAGCACTGCAGTCATAAAGCTGTGGCAGGAGAAGGTCTCTGAAAACTTGAGTATCTTGTGATGCCGCAAGCAGTGCGTTTTAGGAAGTAAATCTGTCCTGACTTTGCATAGCAGCCGATGCTATGGGTGGAAGGGGGGGTCCCTGTCTAACTACAGGCCTGAGACTCTGGTGTCTGCATCTAACTAGATCCCTTCAGCTGCCACATGTCCCATTTCAGAACCGATTCACTTCCCATCCCACCAAAGCACTGCCAACCAGAGATGACGGGGACCCAGCTAAGCAAAAGGATGCCGATGTTCCCACATGGGAACATTGATACCTGGTGTATCAGTGCCTTAGGCAAAGGAAGGTCAAATGGCAATCCTCCCCTCAGGGAAGCAGAGGAGAATCTACATTCACGGCCTCACCAGGGTTTAAAACAAGGAGAAATGCAGTTCACTCTTTCTCGCTCTAGCTTGAGGAGCAGTCTCTGAGGCTGCTGCAGTGATAGCTTGTATTGTGTTCCCTTGAGGGCTTTACTTCCAGAATGCCCAGGTTGGAAAGGGGTCACAAAAATGAGAAGCGGAAGGTGTTTGCTGTAGCACCGTGCTGGATGATTAAGGTGGCCTTTCATGATTTGCACTGGTATGGATGGTGATCACTCATTTTCCTTAACACAAAGTGATCTAAAATTGTGAGGAGCACTTATCCTGCAGTTAAAGGACAGGACTGAGAAGCATGTAAAAGAATAACATGCTCTCTTGAGAGACTTATGATGAAATTTGCATGTCACAGATGGCAGGATCCAGTAGAACCAGAAGCTGGTCTGGATTTGAATTAGCACAACTGGCCAAAGGCAGTCAGTTTCTACACCAAAATATTAAATGAGCTCTCCCTAAATAACTTTTCAGAGTTATTTGGAATGATGACCTTATGTGTGACCTTACCATAAGCAGCACAGAGCTCGCTGGCATCATTTCAGGTGAATTCAATGCAGCCCAGGAAATAACTGAAAATAAGGACCAGCGTTCATCTTGGTTTTAAATCATGGGTCATGGAATTTAGCAAAGGAAAATATACTCAGAACAGGTCTGTTTGCTTCAAGCTAGTTTTAGAATTATAGGAAATAGGGCTGCAAGGGACTCTAACCCCTCTTCCTATCCCAGGGCAGGCTCAGCTTCATTTAAAACATCTGGACAGATGTTTGTTTCAGTGACTGAGATGCCCCAACCTTCCTAGGAAATCTATTTTAGTGCAGTCTGGTCAGTAGTCAGGGCCTGTTTTCCTATTTGCTTAGGAAGGACTTATGGAGGAAACTCCTGATTGGATTCATGGGAGTTACCCAGATCAGTGATTTATACACCAGCAGCAAGAGAAAGCTATCTTGCAGTTGGATTTCTGAGCATAACTCAGTGCTGAAAGTTCCTTGGAGCCGGTAGCAGCAACAGCATCTGAAGAGCCAGTGCAGGGAGTGAGGTGTGTTTGTGTTCACAACTGTGCACTTGTTCCTCTGCCTTGCACATAAATGCAGAACCCATTGCTGATGTAATTACTGAGAGTCAAACTATGGGAAATTAAACCCTGAGAGTTGATCATGGCAACATTCTCCCACCAGAGACATCTTCCTCCTGACCTCATCACGGTCTCAGGCCCTGATCCTGCAATCTTGTTCCTGTAGATGGAGCACGAGTTCAAGGCAGACCCTGCCCTCAGCCAATACTAGATGGCAGAAATGGGGCCTTAGAACCTTTTTTTATAAAGTAACAATTATGGTGCAGGGTCTGTTGTGTTTAGCATCTCCTTGGCAGCATACCACCATCACTGCATTAGCTTCTTTTGTACGACAGAAGCTATGTCTGTATCGTTATCTTTGTGAGCTTTGGCATTTTTGTCGATTTGGGAGCTCTTGGCCGTCAGAGACATTACCAGGGATCACTATGTGGAAGTGGATCTCATCGATCCCCACTGCATTAGCTATCAGTGACTAAAAAGGGAACCTTCATAGCTCACAAATGTCTTCCAAGGTCAGTCCTCAGATGGGTAGAAACTAATTGAAAATACGTCATAGCAATTTGGTGTAAGTAGAGCAAGGGGTGGGGAGTCAGGACTTAGGAGGTCCATTCCTGGCTCCACCACTGACTCCATAATACACCCTTGTTCCTCAGTTTAATCCTCATGGAAATCAGTACCAGTAACCAATACATTCTTTCAACAGAGGGGGAAGAGCATGGACCTCTGCAGCTTAAGGAAGAAGCAAAGCAGTATCATGCAGGGTGAAGAATAGACTTCTGTATTTCAAGCAGCCCCAAGTCAAAACATTTTCTATTCAAAAGATTTGCCTACTCTTTCTGAATATAGATGGACAGATGAACACACAGATAGTGGTGTCTTAGGAAATGGGGGTTAGCAATAATCAGTGATCCAGTCATTTCCACTTCAACTTGGAAAGCTAGAAGGAGCCCTCTGAACAAAGGAGACTGACTCTGGAATAATTCTCAAACCATTTGTATTTGAAGTTGCCATAAGAGCAGCAGCTCTTATGGCTGGAGTCATAAGCATAAAATGGATTAGCAGCTTTGGCAACATATTTAATGGAACCACACTAAAGCTTATCTGTTTTAAAAGTTGGTCAGGTTCAAGGGTGATATTTCACTGCTTAAGTGCAACAGAGGTGGTCCCCTCTTCTCTCCGATTAATCCTATGACTGGTGTTTCTGCACCTCTATCTACCGTCCCCCCACTTTGTCATATGCTCCCTACACCAGCCAAGAGGATTCCAGAGTCTTACCTCCTTGCCGGGAAACAGCAGCTCAAGGACTAGTTTTTCAGACCGCACCCAGCACAGCAATCAAGGATCTGTAGTTTAAATAAAAGGCTAGATTGTCAACCATTAATCAGATTAGCGTCAATACTGGATCATTCTAGTTCAGCTGTCATCACAACACCAGCGATTTGAGGGTCAAATGTGTAGCTGAGGCTTCAATGGTTTGGGGATGCCCACCAGACTGGCCAAAGCATCATCACTAAATGGTACAACAAAAAGACAATCAGGTAACAGAACTTAGATGCAGTACCAGGTTCTGTATCATTCCAAAAGGATTTAATCACCTACACAAACAGACCTAGCAGTGATATTGTTAAAGGAGAAAGAAGTTCACTCTTCTGAAGGGTAATCATACCGGACAGAGCTGCATTAGCCAAGGGCAGTGGTGACACCACCATCATCATCAAGAGTTTCAATTAACCAGACATGGTGTCACATTGGGTTTGTGTCATTTAAGTTCTCAGGTACAATTTCTACCAATCCTACCATAGTAGAAACCATTATTGGAAAAGGGATTGTACTGGAATTGTCCCTACCTTTACCTGTGCTACCAGGAAGGCTTTTGGGGCATTTGCTGCCAAATTGCGGAATGCTTATTTTACTACCGAGAACCTGATCCATAGATTATAATTACATGCAAGAGCAACAGGGATGATGGAAATCCAGAGGAACGATTGATGGATTTAGCCTGCTTTGGACCATGGTAACCAAGCTAAATAGACTCCAGTGATGATAGTAAAGACGACAGCAAGCAGAAACCCATGAAATACAAGCTGTCTGGATCATGTCATACCTCAAGGAAGACCTCAGAGGACAGAAGAAGCTGGAGGAGATGGTTGTTCTTACTTCCAATGTGTCCTGTCTCCAGCTCTCTGCAGTTGCCATGTTTGTTTTTGTCCCAGTAGCAACTCACTGCTGGAACCCAGTTTCCCTCTGCAGCCAATATTCCCCATGAAGTTAAATATATTGAATACTGATGGAAATACATCATCTATTTTTGTAATCAGTCCTTAATTCTAAACACATCTTGGAAAAGGTTGAAGATCAGGTATCTATTGTTCTTACAGTAGGGCAGAACCAGCAACAAGTTTACGATATCAGGATTACGTAGGCATTTAATCTGAAGGACAACTGGGGTCTTCAGAGTCTGCTGTGGACATCATGCACTCTCCCCACAAATAAAGGCATCTTACTAACTGGGTAAATATCTTCATACTTTGTTTAGAGGCTTGACAAACATAGACCACACTCATCCCTCCTCACCCCCTACACTTCAGGCCTCATCAAAAGGGAAAAGAGTTATGTTAGTCATTTAATGACATCACCCTTCCCAGTTAAGCAGGCAACCTCCACCATCAAGTTGTCCCCTTTTCTCTAGCTTTTCTAGCTCCCAGTTGCCCAAATCAGTGATTTTCAACTAATTTGGCACCCCTTGGAAAATGCCAGCTCTTAGCTGTCACTCATTTGTTGACTACAGAAAAATAATAAAGACATTCTTCTATTGCAAGGAAGACCACAACAGGTCAGAATGCTTTTGGCATTATGATTTACAATTTTAAATCATTGGGCTTAATCTCGTGAATTATGTCCAGGTGTTTGTACACTTAATATTCCACAGCACCCTTACAAATAAATACATAAATCTCATGGCACCCCACAGCCCTAGATTTCAAATCTGAATGGTTTTTCACCTTAATTTCACTGTAAGTGTTTTGGGACGGAGTTGGCATGAAAATTCTTACTAGTATCTGCTGCCTTTGAAGTACTACTTGGAGGCAAAGCCTGTCTGATGGTGAGCAGCTTCTACTCCCAAATATACAGGAGCTTTACTACAAAAAAGGAGGGGGAAAAATAATTACAAATAGGAAGTGCTGGGTTATTATAGACACAGATTATTTTAAGTCAAGCATATGGCATTTATTTATAGACACAGATGTTTTTCCTTCTTGCCTGGCCAAAACATCTTTGCCCTTGTCACATTGCTTGTAGTGCTGAAATATGTTTCAGTTATTAGAAGGGAAACTAGCCCTCAATGTTTTTATTCACTCTTCTGGGAAATTAAATAGCTCTGTTTTTTTTCTATATTATTAGGTGAAAAAATAGAATTACTATAGCGAAACAAAGGAGGTTTGCTTTTTAGTCTACATCGTCTCAAAAGCTACTACCAGGTATTTCAGGAAAAGGGTAGAAAACCTTTATAGCATGACCTGCCTATAGGTAGGGTTTCCTCCTGGCTCCATCCCGTTAGAGGTTAGCCTAAGCACTCTGAAGCAAGCTGGTTTATACCCCTTTTAAATATAACAGGGGGTGTTATTCTTAAGTATTTAGTGTGTGTGGTTGGAGGGGTTGGGTTAGTTCCTACTAAGCACTGGAGAGCAACGGGACTGTGTTCCACAGGTTACACATTATTCATAGATGCTAGGGTCGGAAGGGACCTCAACAGATCATTGAGTCTGACCCCCTCCTGCATAGGCAGGGAAGAGGGCTGGGCCTAGGTGACCCCAGATAGATGCCTATCTAACCTCCTCTTGAAAACCCATCTAACCTCCTCTTGAAGACCCCCAGGGTAGGGGAGAGCACCACCACCCTTGGGAGCCCGTTCCAGACCTTGGCCACTCGAACTGTGAAGAAGTTCTTCCTTATGTCCAATCTAAATCTGCTCTCTGCTAGCTTGTGGCCATTATTTCTTGTAACCCCCGGGAGCGCCTTTGTGAATAAAACCTCACCAATTCCCTTCTGTGCCCCCGTGATGAACTTATAGGCAGCCACAAGGTCGCCTCTCAACCTTCTCTTGTGGAAGATTATGTGCAAGATTTAATTTACAATTTAAATAATGTAAGGAAGACATTGTTTACAAGCAACAATAACTGTTGCTCACTCTGTACATTGCATTTTTATTAGACATCAACAAGGAAAAACAGAACATTTGGCACAAGAATGCCAATATTTTTTTTTTATTTTTTGGACACATGAACACAAAATATCCCTGCAGGCTAAAAAAAAAAAAAAATACATTGCAAATTGTACACGACCAGCATCTTATCGCAACATGGGGCTGCTAACCCACCCATAACAGTTTAGAAAGAGTACCTCGTATTGCTATAGACATACATCCAGTCCAAATTTAATAAAATACAATTTTAAACATTACAAGTCTAACAATATAGAAACAAAAAAATTACATCATAAGTCAAAATGAACAAATGCAAACATTTTACATTGAAGTTTCAGCCTCTAGACATAGAAATATGAAAATGTCAATAGCAAGGTATAAGAAAACCTGTAAGTGATATTACAAGATCTTTCCTCAAATTTCACAAGGAAAAAACCTTGCAGTTGAAACAGTATTGATACAATGCCCTCCAAACTCTGCTTTCTTAAAATGAAAGTAGAGTTACTCCCTTGCTATTGAGCAAGAAAAATCCTACAGCACATCCACAAAGGTAGTTTTGGGGGGAAAAATTTTGTTAAACACTGTATCTGAACAAAAAGGATGCCTTTACCCATGTGACGGGCAAAGCTTTTGATATAGTAAATAAGCTCTGACACTTGTGTTTGGAACAAGATGCATACTGCATGAATCATGTTTGCCTGTATATCACAACCTTTTATGCCCTTTGGATGCAGCTACAGGCACTATGCTAAATTATAGTACTTACAGTAAGGATAAGCTGGGCCTGTCAATGTCTGAGACAGGCCAAGTTCTTTCCAGAGCTTGTTCAGAATTCAATTGTTTACCAAGAAAGTGGAATTGGTTCCAAAATGGGGCTTCTGCTGTCCTTTAATATCCACCACCCCCTTCCCCCAATGCGTTAAACTTTGCTACATTTAAAATCTTCCACACCACATAGCTAAACAGTGGCCAACAGGCTTTATTTATAAAAAAAAAAAACCAAACACCCTAAGAACTACATCTACAGAATGCACATCTTCCCATTGATTGACACATGCATAACGATTCAGTCAGTCCCAAGGGATTAATTCAGATAGTCAAGCTCAACCTCCAGACCCAGCTTTCAGAACTGCGTACAACAGTATTGCTGAAACTTTCATCTTGCAGTTACTAGCTTTGCAACTGCCCTGCAATGACAACTCCCACCTTAAATGTTCTTCATTTGTCTCTGCTTCTTAAAGGTACAGCACTGTATCCTTCCCAGGATGAGTTTCGTGATGTTTTAATACAAAATAGAGTTTAACTTCTTACTGTACTTCCCAAGACTAGCTGAGGTCTAACAGTCCGTACACTTCAAGGTCAAATATTCAGTCTAATTGCAGGCATACGAAGGAGAGGCTCTCACTTCACTCAATCTGAACTAGGAGTGCTTGGCACTGGACAACTAACTACCTGGTGGTAAAAATTAAGTCTCTTTCTTATGCACCCTGACTAGTAAGTCACCATTCTCACTTAGTGCACAAATCCACACAAAGATCTTTGATCTATCACCTAAAGGGTGCTCTCAATTTCTTTTCAAGGTGCCAAAGTTCTCCGTAAGTTGGGTCAGTCAAAGTTCATCCTAAAAGGGGTTTTTTTGTATTCTCCCTGAACAAATAGTATGAAAAGCAGCCATCTAGCTGAAGCAGCGGTCAGTCTCCCACCACGTCCTGATTTTTTATTACACAAGTGAGGTATTCTTTAAAGAAAAGAAAAAAAAAAGTTTAACAAATTTAAAACAATCTTATCTAAACCTGTCTACGCTACGTGCCAGGAGCAGAGTTTGCCTCAGTCCCATTTTCAAACAGAAAAGAAAGGTTAAACTCATTTTAATGAGACATACAACTCTGAAAGAAGGTTATAAAACTATTTTGAAGACTAACTTCAGTGTACTCTGGTACAACTGAAAGACAGCATTTAGAAATGTAAACTTTCATTTATTTACAAGCTTATTTAAAAGACCGAAGGAAAAAAAAAAAACAAAAAAACACAGCATTTCCTATTGCTAAGCTTTCGAGAGGGCTGGTTTCCAAGCTTTGGAACAGCAGACAATTTACAATTTAGCAGCAAACTCCACACCAATGTCGGAGACCACAGTGCAATTGTTGTTGACTTTCCAAACTCTTCTTAGTTTCCAAAGTGGTGGTGGTAGCTATTCTGAATCTAGGAATAAGAGTTCAGCCTGTGCTAATTCACATTAACCCTACAAGGAACCTAGTCTTAACATACCATGTTTGTGGGTTCCAAAAGTATTAAATGAAACCAAGTCCCTCTTCCTTATTACACATTTCAGTTGAAAAAAAGCCAAGCAAATTAAAAATACCTTACATTTCAAGGCTGGGACAGGATCAATATATTAGATTTACGATTGTTTAAAACATGCTGTTTAATGCAGTAGTGTGTGCAACCTAGATTCCCATGGGGGGGAAAAAAAAAAAGTTTAAAATGCTGGTAAAGCCTTTAGGTTGCTATCACACAACACATGTAGAACTATACAGATTGGCAAGCCTTTCCTACACAGAACACCTAGTTCTCAAGCTTATAAAAAAGTGGTAGACAGGACACCAACAGTGACTATAAAACAGTTAAAAATAATTCTTAAAAAAAAAGCATGGAAGTGCGTCTTTTCTGACTGGTTTCAGAAACTGCCAAATTGTGTGTTCAGAAAACGACACGAGAATGTTGGTTAAACTCATGCACAATCCTCAGCTAGAAAATTACATTGTCAGGGGGCTTAAAAAAAGAAATATTTATTGCCAAAAGTTAAACCTTCTATGAGAAAAAGTTTTAAAATCACTTAGATTTATCAAACCACACAGCAGCATAAAGTGGGCATTTTTGTAAAAGTCTGAAAAATATCTAAAAGCTAATTTTTTTTTTTAATGTTTTTGTCATTTTTAAAGGGGGGAAACGATGGTTCAGTACTTGCTACCATATCATGGCAGTATTATGTGTAACCATTTGTCATTTAAAACCTGGTGACAGGCATCACCACTATCTGGTTATGTTGCACATTCACAGAACAAGAACCACCTAGTTCAATTTGCAGTATAGTGCAATTGCTTTGCAGCCAGAGTCTGCAGAGATTAAAAAGATAATTAGGAAAACTGACAAAAAACTGCAATACCTGTGAAAGTTAATATTTGTTAAAAGGCATTTACAGTAGTGAAGTCTAAAATAGCTATTAAAAAACTATGGCCCCACATAATAGAACAATTACATTTAATTGGAGAAGAACATTCTATGCACGCTCGCTAAGCAGTGCGTGAAGACAGGGAATTAGTTATCTTGATAAACGAATGGGATGAGAAGATAACTTAAAAACCATAGCTAGCAAAATATTCAAATAGAAACCTTTCATGCCAAGTCCTTTAAAAATTTCAAAGTGATCAGCCTTTTGCGCCTTGAGGTAAAAATTCAGTCCAATGCATCAGAAGAGACAGTCTATGAATTTCTATTACTTAAAATAACAAAACAAATGGCTCAATTGTGTTGGTGCATCAGACGTTGCTGTGAAGTACAGATTCAGTGCGAATGTTCAGAGCTGCTGGTAATAGGCAGTCTGAAATAAACTGGGCCCTAACTATAAGCAGTAGGCTTTCAAAACATTTCAGGACTGCGTGGGTTGCCGGTTCTACTTCATCTTCCCAGATGCTCTCAAGCAAAATACATCGTATGCTGGGTATCATGGTGGATCTGTACAGCTTTCGCCAGAGCTTGGGGGTCACGGCCATTGCTCTGTCCTGAAACATGGCTGCCTTCAGCACTGTAAGACATGCAGATACATTGAAAGGGTGATGCATAACGAACCTGCTGAGTTAGTCAAGATTCGCTTTTCTGGCTACATGGATAAACTGGTCTCTGAGCTAAAACTTGGGCCGATAGCTGGTGATCACAAGTCAGCACGGGGCAGACTTTAATCCTCCTAGCCTTTATACTGCTTACCATTTGAATGCGTTACCATTTTATAGAATCGGTTACCCAAGGATTTCATTAGCCCGGTCTCCCAACACCTGTGAAGTAAGGATCCCCAATATACAATGATGCCAGGAATCAGGACAAAGGTAGGATCAGAAATTATAGTATGTAGGCTTATACTTCTGATCAATGCTGGCTCAAAATACAACATCCAAAAACCCCTCCAACCTCTTTAGTTAGCAACAGTAACAAGAACCTCAGTTTTAAGTGAGCAAGGAGCTGGAGAGGAGGAAACCCAGTTTTTATAGTGGCTTTATTTGCATTAACTTCAATACAGGGGCAGGAAAGCAAGGCAGGGGGGCAGAGGGGGGGAAGGGAGGTGTGTTATATTTGCAAATTTAAATATAGTAAATCTCTGTTTTTCCAAGAGGGAAGAAAAGACTGAAAAGCCAGCCAACCACACAAAGGTCTGTCTTTGTAACAAAAAAACCCTCTTTTCATCACAACCTCAGATTTTCAAGTAAGTCCTAACTGTTCGTTTTAGTACTGTATTTACTCGAATATAAGACGACTCTGATAATAAGATGACCCTCCCCAATAATTAGATTTTATATATACCAAATTTATAAATTTGTTGCAATTTTCCACGTATAGAATCTAATTACTGGAGATTTGCCTTGAATCTTTCCCCCTCCCATTGCTACAAAAAGGAAAATACATCTGGTGGGGAAGGGGCAGGTAGCTCCTTTGCCCTCAGCTTCCCTCCAGTTTCTTGCTGCTGCAGCCACTAACCCCTTTCCTTACTGTCAGACCCTGCTCCCCTTGAGCACATGGAAGTGAAGAGCCAATTTAAAAACAATAACCTTAAAATTAAACATAGCTGTAGTAATTTGCATATGGTACCCATAAATTTCAGTTCATCCTGAATTGCTTCATATTACCTTTTTTTGAAACTGCTGCAAGTTTTAGCACAGGTATTCCATAAACAAGCTTTTAAGCAGCACTCGGGCCCCTACTTATATAGAGTACAAACTATGTATGATATTTGTCCAAAACCAAAAGGCTCATGATTTACCATGTAGTTCACTGGGCTGGGCTCCACCAGGGTCAACAGGATTTCAAGCCATGGTGACGCCACAGCTCAGCACTGCTCAGTATGTGCATGTACCCCAGATACTCCCCACAAAGGATCCATGTGCTAATTAGCTCTTCCACTCATGACTGGAACCCATATTCTTGTCACAAGTCCTGGGATGCTCCAAAAATGTGTATGCAGATGAGGTGCAGGGCAACTTGATCCAGCTTTACCTAATGGCGGGGGGTGGTTGGGCCACACTAATCATGTGTGACAGGCTGAGACAAGGAGTAACAGAGGGATTCTAGGTGAGCTGTTTGGGGCCCAGTTTGGCAATGTTTGCCAGGCATTTAAGGCTAGTGAAGAAAAAGGAATGACTGGAAATGGGAGAGAAAGGCACAGCTCAGTTATGGAAATGAAAAAAGTCAAAATGTATGCAATGTAGTGACTCACTATGACCTGAAAGAGTTGATGGGGGCCTGACGTCGTAGAAGGTGGGGGGGGGGGGGGGGGGGGAACCGTGCATAATAGGCACTACCGTATCGTATTCAGATGGATTATGTTGACCTACAGAAGGGGAAACACCATGACCAAGAATACCATGACCTGGCAGGGGAAACACCATGACCACTAAAGGAGGTTTTCCTAGTCACTGGGAATAATCATTTCTCTGGCAGGTTGATTTCCAGTCGGAAGATGTTGGCTTCACGTCCACTTTATTTTGACTTTATGGAAATGGGAAACTCCTCCCTAGCTTGCTCGTGCAGCCATATGGCTGAGGGCAAGCAAAACTGGGGGGCATCTGAAGCCCAAGCCCATGGACTTGGGCCTCCAACGTAGGATGCCTGCCAAATGATCTGTAAGCATCTGAAGTCCCAGGTGGGTGTGGAGGATGTTTGCCAGTAGTAGGGCCATATATGATTCTTGAATGACTCACGGATTTGGAATCACTTTGGCTTGGAACACAAAAAAAAAGTCCTAAAAAACGGCACAGGGCAGAGGGGTCCATCAAACTGTCCATGACAAACCTGCTGCTGGCAGGCAGAAATAATCGACCACCTCTTCTGGGACTACCTATTACACCTCTCTGGCACATGGGAAGTCCATGTGCTACTCCTAGTGGTGACAGGTTTCAGAAACCTGACCAGGGAAGCAGTTCTCTACAGGCACCTGACCAGACAGCAAGGGACCCTGACAACTCTCTTCGACCAGTTCATATCCTGCTTCAGGTATGTACTGTGGAAAGCCAGGAATCTGCACAGACCCCAGTCGAGCACTGTATTAAAATGGGACTAAGTGAAATGCACTGGTACTACAGGAAGACAACAAGAAAGAAATGGCAGATCTCTAGTGAAGAGGGGTCTGGTATAGACTTTTTCCATGAGTAGACCCTCTGAAGACAGCAGTAAGTGGGGGTACAGGTATGGAGATAGGTGCGCAGGCACATGGTGCAAACTGTATAACAGGTTTTTAGTGTGCTTTGAGCTACCAAGTGAACCACAGGGGCCACTTGGCAGAGAGAGAGAGAGAGAGAGAGAGAGAGAGAGATTATAAATATCTATATAGCAAAGGAGAAGGGGGGTTCCCATCAGCATTTCTAACACCAGGGGAGGGTGTCAAAGCTTTCTATGGCCTTTCCAAGTGGTGGTCTGGCTGGTCTTGTGGTACCTCCTGGTCCAGCACTCCTTCCCCTCCATCCTCCCCCACCTTTTAAAAAACATTTTTTTTAAGAGCTACACACAAAAAAAAGGGTTCCCATCAGCACTGAAAGCCTAAGCAATGCCTTAAAGGCAGAAAAGGGACTGATAGCATTTGGGGTATGAGGAGTGGAAGAGGGAGACTCAAAGCACAAAAAAAGGCAGTGGTGGCAAGTGAGCATGAAGTGAAAAGAAAAGTGAAAGCAAAAGGAGCAATAACCAGAACAACAACAGGATTGAGGATGACAGAGGGAACACAGGAGCAGAGGAGAGTGAAAGAGAGAGCTGAGGCAGCAGAAGACATTGGGCAAAGAACGAAGAGAATGACAGTGGCATGATGACATACTGGCACATCAGGAGCAGCATGGCAGGAAGACATGGAAAATGAAACGAGATGGCAGAGACAATCAGAGACTGTGGATAAAGGTAATACTAGCTGGCAATGGGACGGAGATGGGAATGACAATGAACAGATATGTCTTTTTGGAAAAGATACTGTTTGAAATATTGACAGGTGGAGCATCTAACCAGCTTGATCATGTTTCAATACTAAAAGACTTAGGAATTCACCTTCTGGAACACAGAAGGGTATAAACATTTCTGGAAGAGATATGCAGAGGAAAGTATTAAAAAAAGCTAAAATTCATAGCACTGGGAGAAACGCCAAGGAAGATGGTGATTGTAGTATGAATGTATACAGATTTATTAGAGGCAGAAGACATAGAAAGGTGGATGGAATGGTGTGTTCCGAGAGTAATGCGGGTAGAGAAAGTGCAGAATAAATATGGTATCTGGACAGGGGCATGGCAAGTACGAGTAGTGTTAAAAGCAAATGAGTGGACCCCAGGTGGGGCACAGTACCTGTCACCTGTGATCCAGCTGGATCAAACCTCTGTTCAATGTGTGACAACAGATGACATGTGTTTCACCCACGAGTGGATCCACTATGGAGGGACACATCCTGCCATGGCTAAACTGCTTCATTTGGCAATGTCTTCTTGTACCCTAAATTTTACTCTTCATTTACAAGGACAAATCTGTTTAAATAGTCTATTGATGAGCATACAGATAGAAAGGCCTTACTAGTGGGCAAAAGACTGCTCACCTGTCATGATCCTTGTCCACAAGGTGGTATCTTGCCCTAAATGCTACCAGCCTGGCATAGTATGCAGGAGCTGGAATGGAGACTGATCGTGTACATCGGACATATGTGTGACACAGTTGGTAAGTCAGCAGCTGCAGTTCATCTGCGGTGAAACAGTTGTCATCCCACAAGACCTGATAGTGAGATGGGCGGCTGGTTCCCTGGGGGAGAAGACAGATAAGGTGGTTAAAGCTCTGGCCCCTCTAAAATCAACATAAGGCATAAGTTTCTATGCTCTATTGATAAGTCAGCATCTCATAACCAAATCTTCAGGCTTTGGTAAAGCTGATGCAACTACAAGGCTGCTCAAGCTGAAAACGTAAGATGCTGCCATCCCTGAGTGAGAGCTGTTGGTATCTTGCTCTCACAACACAAACTCAGCAGTACCAGTGGATTACCTGAATCCCTGCATGACTACAGAGGTAAAAGTCAAACTCTGAAGGATGTGTGATGGTGCTGTCTACAGTTGTGCCTGCTGGTACGTTACCACTTTTACCCACCTATAGGGAGAAAAATATAGAATTAGCATATTTATTTCTACAAGTGCTATGGAACTCCCTTGCTAGAACCGATTTTAAGCTGTTGGTAAATTTAGAACTCTTGAAGGTGAAGAAATGCTAAAGTCCTTTTTTTTAAAAAAAAAGGATGAAATGGCATTCATTTTTGGGAGCCTTGCTACAGACCCCACTATTCCCCAGACCCCACTATTCCCCACCATCCCAGACCTTTACCAGTTATAACATGGTTGAAATGTGTAAGGTTATCTGAAAATCCCAGTCAGGGTATAATTTAAACATGGCTGCTCCTAACATCATTATAATTGTAGAGTGAGGGTTTGGACAGGTATTCATTTGCAGTGCTACAAAATGTCTTAGCACTTTGTAACACTACAAAAATATAGGCTACAGAGACATTCCAGCCTCCCCACCTCCACTGGAGGGCTACAAAGTTGCCTCAAAGGAAAGCTCTCCAGCCAAGAGATGATAGGGGAATCCTTGGGCCCCACACCGACCACGGGAGGTTTATCACTAACAGACCGCCCTCTCTTCTGCCAGGGAAGTGGGTAGGCTGTCAGTGATCAGCAGGCAGCTGCAGAAAAGCAACAGGTGCTAAAGACAGCCCTCTACCACCCGTGGCATTAGCAGGAGCAAGGAGAACTGCTTTCCTCACTATACTATCCCTCGTAATGCCAGACATCTGCTGGGGTGCAAGAATTGCTGTCATCCCTTTAAAAGACCCTGCAAAAACCAGGACCCTTACAACAGTGGTAGCAATTCTCACAAAAGGTGGCTCTGTCACAGCCAGAGTCAGCAAAACTGGAGATCTGCTGGCCTCAGTGGCCATAACAGAACTGCCCCTGCCCAGCTCTGCCATTCAGTGACCAGCTCTCTTGAGGACTCTTCAAGAAGCAGTAGCAGCAGGGTCCCAGCAAGGCTCCCTGACAGTTCACCTATCAGAAAGCCAGTTGCTCTTTCTCTGTACAAGTGTTACACATAGTGCTATAGAATTGGGAAAATCCTCTCCCAAACTGATATTATCACTTTCACTCTCATTGTAGTGCTGTAAACAGCTCAAATGGTTGTATGCTTGCTTTTCAGCACTACAAGGATGTATTTAGGTCTACAAATGTAACACCTGTCCATTGCCTAAAAGCAAGGCATAAATTTAGGTACATTACTGAAGCCGTAGATTCCTTCTGCAGTCCTGTATATACCATTCTACTGGGTCTCATATCCATCAACCAAACTTAAGACCAGGAACTTTTCTAAGAAGAAAGGCCATGGTTGTGTGGAGGTTGTGACATGAGCAAAGTCTCTCCCATTTATTTAGACAAAGTAGGCAAGATTGCTGATCCCTCAGCTTGGTGTTATGGATCACCTGCTACAAAGCCCACTCTGTTATGAACTACTTCATCCTGCAAAGTAGAACTAACCCACTGTGTTAGTGAGTGACCCGAATGTCACCCATTACCCAGCTGTTCACCCATTAACAGAATTTATCCTTAAAATTACTTGCCCTTTCAGTTTTGTCAGCACAGAATAGTCTGGTGTGATGCCTTTTCTGCACAACAATGTAGGTTATTCCTGGTCTATAATCTTCTTCCAAACTAATGCAGGCCTTCCGGATTGCTATCAATTCTGGCCACGCAACCTAAAAGATTTAAGAGTTGAGAGCTGCAAATCATATAGGCGACAGTATCCTCCTTGTTCCTCTGAACGGGTGCAATTTTGTAAAGAAGAAGGTTTAAAAACAAGATAATTGCACTCTGTTACTCATGTGGAGAGCATCAGGAAAGTTCAAAATGTTGCTTATTAGAACTAAGGAATCTTGTCCCTCAAGATCTGAATTAAAAGCCAGTGTTCTCACCTGAATTTTCTAGGGGAGTTATGTTAAACATGAACTACAAACAGGTCAGCTACCTATATGCAGCCTAAAGGATCCCACGTTTTTATCTCTAACATGCAGTCCCTATGGGGAGGAATGTGGCAGGCAACTGCATAGAGATTATTTCACCCATAATGGAAAAAACTTTTGACTTATGTCAAAACAAATGTAACTTTTTCAGAAATCCGTATTGGGGTTTTAATGCCTGTGTGAAGGTGACAAAGCCTCTTGTGGCAGTCCCTGGGATGAGACACTTAGCATGGGATCAACTGCACTCAGCCCTTTGTATAGTACTTGGGAAGACGGAGTGAGTAGACATTTACAAGATTCACATTTGTAGCCTTGAGGAGTCCTGGTGCTTATCTACATCAGAAGTTCAAATGCAATAAGCCAAAGATATGGAGTTTGTAAGTGCAATAGCTGCTCTACAATAAATCCGCATGTGGACATGCACAGTACACAAAAGGCCTCTATTCCACCTACTAGGCATCTAAGTGGACTTAAATACCTAAGTGAGATTTTATTTCACACTGCTCAAGTCCTGAAAAATCAATCAATGCATTTACTTTTGTAACATACCGCCATCTCATGCTTAAGACTGAGTCATGAAAAAGCAGCAAGAAAGAGGAGGACCCACCCACCTTTTGCATTAACTGTTTTTCAGGGACTGTAGCAAGGTGGAATAGAATTGCACTTAGGAAGCTAACTCTACTTACACACTTAAAAGGTAGAATACAGCCTGTCCCTAAATGCAAGATAACTGCACTCCTTTCAAAGCAGAGTAATCTACCTTATAGAAAGGCACTGAGAACATCCACACAGGGAGTCAGTGTGAACTGGCTATTGTACTGTAAACTGGATTTAAAAGCGTGTTGCTCTCTAACCTGAAGGTAGGCAAGCTCTAACCGTTTCAAAACTGAAGCTCAAAGCTGTCAAGCTACTCTGAGCCAGATGTGTTGGCAACAGTCTTCCTCTCAGTGGATAATACATGTAAAAGGGAGCGGAGGCTGTCAGGGAATGTATTTCTACTAATATTTGCATTCTGAAGCACAAGATGTCATTCATACCCAAGGGGACATTGCTGGAAAATACCTGTTTCATCTGCCCCTCTGATACTCCTCCCCGGTAGTAAATGATCCGAGTGGGCTTGAAGCGGGTGGATTTGTAGAACTGGATCAGCAGCTCCCGCACCATGTTAGTCAGGTCCTGGATCACTTCCTGACTGTACAGCAACTCTTGGGAGGTCTCCTGACGGGAGGTCTGCACACGCACTGTGGCGCAGTAGCGACTAGGGTGGCCATCCATACTGCCTACCACAGCAGCAATAGATGGTTTCTTCCCATCCCCAGCAGGAGGGTGAGTGACATCTGCCCCCAGAAAGATCACTGGTTGCTGGAATACAGAGGGCCTGTCCAATTTAAAAAAAAAATGCTTAATCAAAAATGCCAAGCAAGGGAAAACAAAATTACACCTAGCAAGTCATCTGACAAAGAAAGGTTAGGAAAATAGTTTGAAATAATCTCTAGAACCAAAAGCATGCTAGACACTTTGCAGAGAATCAAAGAGTTTATGATCTAGAGAGGGCAGGCAGGGAAAATGGGAAAGGCAGTACCCAAAAGCAGACTGAAAGGTGAGATTACAAGCAAGTAACTGCCACAATTCACTTGCTTGCCCATTTCATTTCTCTCACTTGTTAGAGGTGCTCCATATGTAATAAGGCAGTTAAAAATAAATTCTTTTGCTGGAGGACAATACTAAATGCAAGAATCCACAAAAGACTAGAGCTCTAGTCAATCTGCTGCATGTAACTGAGAACCTAGACAACCTCTGAGCTCTGCCATCTTATTTTACTCTAACCTTTGCGCAACCCTTTCAGTCAGATCTCTAGGCAGATTTGAACTCCCCAGGTGCTCTTTACCAATTAACATACCAAATAGTGTCACATAGTTTCAGTGCTCAATTAGAATGCATTCTCATTTGTCTTATTTAATACACAAGCAGACTATGTCCAAGATGCATGTTGTGTTCAAAGGTATCATTCTGGTTACTAAAAGGTAGACCAAAATAATCACTTTGTCTGCTAAATTACACCTATACAAAGGCTTTACATTTGATCTCACCTTTGATGAGGTACAAGCACATTGTTGATTCCCCCAAGCTTGGCATTTATCTTCAGACAAAGGTTAGATAGAGTTTGTGGTGAGGTTTTCACCACATTCTTCACCTGAACACACTGTGTGGCCATTCCTAGGAGAGTGTCACCAACACGCTTCACCTCAGCTGCAACAGGAAAGCAAGAAAGTGGTTCTGATTACATGAACCTCCTCCTCCCCTTGTAAAACATCTGAAAACTAAGTGCCAAAAGGCTCAACAAATTCCAGTCTGCTCTTTGGTACCATGTGTGTATGTTGACAAAACAATGACAACTGCCCAACTTCTAAGAAAAGCTTCATCCTAGCCAAAGGCATTGACGCTCTCTACCCATCTCCTCATTAAGCACATGAGTACATGTATCGTACGACAAGTTAACTATGTGGGATGTTAGAACTCCTCTTCATACCATACACAGGTGTCTTCCCGGGCAGGATCACCACTATTAGCTGCAGGCCAACATAAGTTAGTTTCAAATGTTTAAACATGGGCTCCACGCTGTCTGCACCCTGGGCGTATTTACAAAAGCACGGCTGGCCCTGAATCGGCATCCCTGCATCCTTGGAGATCTTGCGCAGCTGATCCGTAAAACTCCTGTAAAACGAAAGGAGTATTAAAGAAACTTATTTGGCAAACCGGTCCAGATAATTCCAGTAGCATTCTGAATCCTCTGGCAGTTGGGTACTTACAGTGCAAGCTACTTCATACTATAGTCACTCTGTACCACCGAAACTCTCTAATCAATTATATTACAGAGCTCACAGGTAAAGTTCTTATTTTATCTTGGGAGAAACTATATTAGTTTTGCTTTTTAAGATTTTACAAGTACTGAGAAAACTAACGGTCAGCTGAAATGTTTAATGCGCATTTCCAAACCAAAGACAATTTATTGGCGTATCTGGCAGATTCCTGTTCATTTATCTAACTAACCTAAACATTAACATCCCCCATACATTACAACTGTTCCAATGCTTTCTCTGCTGAAGAAATTCATATCGCTGACATTTTGGAAGCTGAACTGGCCATGATTTTTTCACGTAGGTCAAGCGCCTTTGGCATGGCTTGAGGCAATTGGATTTAGGAACAAAAGGACCTTATTCTGAAAGTTCTTATACAAAAATGACTCTCTGAGGTCAGGTATTTGCATGCAATCAGACTGCATCACCTTAAAAGCATATGGAGTTTATTTGAGCAAGGAAAGGGAATTCTGTCCACCCATCATATACATGACCTCTTATATTAAAAAGCACTCACTACACCCACATCAAATACCATTTAATATTGCTGGGGGTGAAACAATTTATTACAGGAAGCAAGCCACTGAAACTGCAGCAATAAGCAAAATTGCTATTTAAGCACAATAATTATGGTTGAATTAAAATGTATACATACGAAACCCATTTATGTTTTCAAACTAGCTAACTTGTTTTCATTGTGCATAAAACCCAGGAGCAAATTCAATCTATAAGGTAGACAAAGTAAAGAAAATAATGCAGTGTTAAGGACATTGCTAATTATTCCCCCAACAATTCATCAACCAAGATCTTATATCTTAGAGAGATTTCTGTACTAAGCAAAAAGACAGCATTCCACATTGGTCACCACCTGAAGGATCAGATTTAACTGTAAATGTTTTGCTGTGTTCATTTTATGAATTGCAGTAAAAGCCTCATCTCCTCTCCAACCTGACCAGGTCTATTCTGCTCACATAGTGGAAAAAAATCATGCTGGACTGAAAGCTTCAGCACGTGCAATTAAGAAAGCAACCACTGTCTGAAACCAGCATAGTACTGACAAGGCTCATGAAATGCTCTTGAAATGGTCTGCTTGCTTGCTTTCGTAGAATTGAGCCAGACTGCTATAATCCAAAAATCATGCATGTAAAAACTGTTCTCTCTCTTCGGGACCCATAATCAAAGCTTCTAACATTACATTGAAGCATTGGCAATTAACAGGACAAGGCAACAAACAGTTTTAAGTTTAACATTCTGCAAACCATCATATATGTTTATGGAACTTCATACCAAACAATCTGCATTAGATTCAAAATGTGAAACAATTTAAGTCCAGAAAAGTCACCTGAACTGTGTAAAAAGTCAATTCAGGAAAATGCTGCCTATGACCACTGAAGAGCTCAAAAGAAATGTACCCTGTTTTCACACTACTATGTCATAAACAGCTTGTAGTCTAGCCGCCCTTGTCAATAAAAGACAATGAAAGGAGATGGTTCTTAGGACATTTGGCCATTAGAAAGCTTACAGGAAAAGGAAAAACTCTGGTATATGTGGAGTGGGGGTTCTTCAAGGATAAAGAGCAAAACAAAAGGCAAGTCGGGGTCAAGAAAGAAGACACAGGAATCAAGAGAGAAACACTGACAGAACGCAGGTAGCAGAAGACGGTGCAGGAAAAAAAAAAAAAGAACGAATATTCAGGTAAGAGCTGCCTCCAAAGGATGAATGCAACTGCAGTGTAAGCAACTTAATCCCTTTTTGTTAGATAACAGTTTAGAGAAATCTGCCAATTTAGACTGTAGACTTTGTTATTCCCAACTTTAACATGTAAATATTAAAGCTGCTACAGGCTCGTGGCTTCCTGGACTAGAGGAGTCTACATCAGGTTATCCCAGTGTAGTGCATGTTATCTTTCCAAAACATGGTAATATATGTGTAAGAGGTACATAACTTTGCTGCAAGTAGGAAGCTACTTACTTTAACAAATCTTCCCTGCATTGTTTCTGAGGTGCGAAGCAGGCAACAGCCCAAACTTTAATCTCAATGCCAGCATAGAACTGTTTCCCCCGCATGTCCCAAACCCCCTGGTTTGGTGTAGCTACCGTTTTGTTCTAGGTAAAGACAAAAGCAAATTATAATAATGAAAAACAACATTCAGGTTGGTAAGGCAGCAAACAGTATTCTCAAAAGGCTTGTGTGTATTATAAACATTTAAGCTGCAATGCACTGATAGCATATTATAACTCTGATTAATTATAACAGGCAGTTTTACAAGTCAACTATAACTTACCCTGCCTCCATACTGCAGCATTGGTGCTGGCAATACTCTGCCTGTTAACTCTGTCATTTCGTTATGGACAACAATACCAAACTCCTTCAGATATGGATCAGGTCCACCTACCATACTGTTACTCTTCACCTGGAAAGGAAAAGAACACACTCATAACTATAAAGTCTCAGGTGATCGTCTTTACTTGCATAATTAGTTCAGAGTGGTTCAAACCAGAACCCTTAAGATCAGTTTCTTGAACTTCCATAATTTGGGGTTATTCTACTTATTCATCAAGGGCAAAAAGTTGCATGATTTCTGGTGCCATGGTTCAGTGGAAGCTATTTGAGATAGCAAAGATGC